CCTGAACCGGGTCACAAAGTCCGGCCACGTCATAGCCTCAACAGCCGAGGCTCCCAGAGAGTCACCAACCGACTCCCACCAATCTATGGCCCTGTCTCTCAAGCACCCTGCTGCATATCTCACCTTCGACCCCTCGGGGCAGAAGCTGGTCAACTGTGCAGACTCAATGTCCGCAATCCATCGCCTGGCTGCAATGGGGTCCTTCTCCCCATGGAAATCCGGCGCATCGCTGCCCCTGAAGTCCTTAAAGGACAGTGTGCGTGATCCCGACTGGCTGGTCGCCATGTCGCTCCTGAACGCCCGGAGGCGATCCTCCATCAACTCGACAATCTCTTCCTTGATCGACCCAAAGATGACCGGGGTCGCATCAAGGATGCCTCTAGTGATCTCGGACGCGATGAACTCGCGTAGCCTCTCATCCACCGGTTCGGAACCTGAACCCGAACCCGATCCCTCTCCTGAGCTGTCAACTGCTGGCCTCGGACGTAGTACCACCATTCTGCAATACATAATGACAACCGTCAGTGATACTGATACATCTAGAGGGATCACATCTATCACAAGTTCCCTGGTCTTGCCTCAGCCTTCCTCGATTCAAGTACGGATCCTCTGCTTTCAGTAGTACGGGCCCATACTACCTTCCACATCTATCCGTACTTTCCTCAAGAACTGCCTTGACTCCACCAAGTCCCTTCTACTGCTACTGATCTCTGCTACTCTCTTCCTAGGCTTGCCCTAGGGTAATCACCAACCCACTCTCCGCCATCAGCTGCGTAAGAAGTCCCTGCTTTCTTCCCCTAACTAGCTCGCAAATACTATTACATATCACTCAGACTAGATAATTCTTCGAATGAGAGATCCTACCCTACAACGGTTGGACTCAGACAAGAGCTACGAAATAGAGCTAGACCTAACCTTCTGAAATTATTTAATCCTTGAAATATGTAACTTAACATATTTGTTTACTAGCTAGTGAAAGACAACTAGAACTCCTAAAAGCACAAAGCAAGCAGTATTCGGACATCGAGTACACATAAGCAAGCATATACTACTCAGGCTATCCTCCTGACTAATCTGTACTAGCATGCAGTTCTCATAAAGCTGAAACACATATAGCAGGCACATAAGGCATCCTCCTAGATCCTTAGCCCTAATCTAGCATGATGTTCTACTAAAACTGATAATCATAACATAAACTTGTATGGGTAATTTGGGGAAAACTTACTTGAGCTCGGCCGGTCGCGCACATCACACACCTTGTTCTTTCTCAAAACTCTTTAACTTAGATTTTAGAACCATTTTCTTTGTAAAAATATTTTAATCCTTCGGTTTGAGTCCAGACACTCCCGAGGGTGTGTCCGAATCCCTCAAACCAGGGCTCTGATACCAACTTGTAATATCCCATTTTTCGAGTCCAAAAATTTTGATTTTGATATAACGACTTAGAAAACATTCATAAGAAAATATCATGAAGTCATATCATTTCGTAAAAACCATAATCTCATGTCTGAAAATCATATCGTAAAAGTAGTAACAATGTCAGAGTACAATCCCAAGAAATCTCATAATGCGGAATCCAATGTGTGTATGATGTGCAGCTACCGCGCCGACTCCTTTCCCTTCGCTGAAGAGGTACCTGAAACAAAACTGAAAACTGTAAGCACGAAGCTTAGTGAGTTCCCCCAATCGTACCACATACCATACAATCATATAGCATACATACTGCCGGGCAATTCTGGGGTGCCCGACCTACCCGGTACGACCATTCTGGGGTGCCGACCTACCCGTGTCAAGCCATTCTGGGGTGCTGACCTATCCGTCGGTCCTAAGAACCGACCCTCGGGGACTATTCCACCCCTACTGCTACTATCACATATATCATAACATAAACATACTATCAGACATATTTGGGGTGTCCGAACTACCCTTCGGTCCTAACAACCGAACTTGGGGACTATTCCCCCCTACTACCACTATCACATATAACATATCATGCCAGCATATAAACATATCATCACATACTGTCAGACATATCTGGGGTGCCTGATCTACCCTTCGGTCCTAACAACCGAACTCTACTACTATCACATATAACATATCATGCCAGCATACAACATATCAGGTAGTAGCAAACCTAGATGATATCACAAAGACGATCATCTAACATACAACTCCTACTGGTGGGCCGACATTGTGGCCGTAGACCCACCGCTACTGGAAGGTAACTCACCTCGTACGAGTAGCTGCTGAAAATCTGTGCGGGAAATCTCTGTCTGCTGCTGCTCCGGAAATCCTCCGGCTATAATCCCCACAAAACACTCAGTCAGAATCTGATATCTACTCTTAGGGTAAAATGACTATTTTACCCCTGACCAAGTCCAAGTCAAAGTCAAAGTCAACTTCCAGTTGACCTGACTCGCCGAGTTGAGCCGCCAACTCGTCGAGTACCTAACCTTTTAACTGTCCTCATCCACGTCTCTACTCGTCGAGTTTAGAAATGACTCGACGAGTTCTCCTTCTATACGAGCATCGAATGAACCTTCATCCGACTCGTCGAGTTGTATGAACAACTCGTCGAGTTCATCCTCATCCTAAGAACCAGTCCTGTCCTCGACTCGCCGAGTTGTATGAACAACTCGTCGAGTTCATCTTCAAGAGTTAGGAAATTGCCTTGGACTCACCGAGTCTGTTCATGTACTCGCCGAGTCCTATGAACTCCAGGACTATGGCTTAGCCCAATACGTTGGGTCACTCCCCTGGACCCTCTAAAACCTTTCCAGCACACCACTGGGTCTCTTTGACCCATAACAGAAAAGGGGAGTCTAACCTCGGACTCGTCGAGTCCCAAGAACGACTCGCCGAGTCGATACTTTCCAAGTCTATTTCTTCGATTTCTAGCATACAACTCTTGTCCAAATGATAGATCTAGGTCCCTAAACTCGATCTAGCACGTAAAGTTACGAACTTTACGTGCATGCATGGGACTTTGAGCCTAAAAGGCTCTAAAAGAGACTCTTAAGTTGCATGGGGGCTTCCATGGGTGCAAAAGCAACCCTTTTCTGCCTTGTAACTCCTTCATGGACCTAAATCTGAAGCCTCAACCCCCAACCATGCTTGTAATCATGGTTGGTCACCAAGAATGGCTTATAAAAGCCCTAAATCTCCCCAAAAAGGGATCCAGCAAATGAACAAGCAAGGTACCGACTTTATACCTTCTGGGAACTGCAAATGATGCACAAACTTGAACTCCCTTGGTCTTCTCTTGATCCCTCTAGGCCCTTCCTTCTTCCTTGTGATCAAAATCACCAAAAATCACCACAAATGCCTTTAGATCTTCACACACACAGTTAGGGTTTGCTATGGGGGGTTTCTGGAAGCAATAGGGATGAAGGGTGGCTGAATGAGATGCTTAAATAGGGTGCAAACCCTTAGATTAGAGTTTTGTCCAGTCAGAGTCTACTCGTCGAGTCTGGAGGCCGACTCGACGAGTCCGTCATTTAAATCCCGTATCCAATCCTCTTCTACTCGACGAGTTGGGCCTTCAACTCGCCGAGTCCCAGGCCAAAAATGCACAATACTTAAATAAAATACATACAAGGAACTAGGTGCTACAAAGAGAACTCTTAACTTTTAAGCTTGAAGTTCATAACCAAAGTATGAACTTCAAGAGAGTATAAAAGCAAGTAATATCATCAAGAGGATGAACAAAATGGAGAGAGTTTTCATACTCTCTCCAACTCACAATTTTGTGTCCAAAAGAAGAGCAAGAATGAAAGTCTCATGAAGCCAGTATTTATAGCATAAAGAAAAATTCCATAAGTCCTTAACCATTTAGCATTTTAAACAAACATGTCTCCCATCCTTGTAAGACTTGTCATGCTTTCATTTCTTTTTATTAAACAATCATGAAAGCCATGTTTTTATTTAAATAACCAAAAGACATGTCTTCTTTTTGAAATACTTTAATCATATACTTCTAAAGTATGTTCCCTAGATTAAAATAAGCCACAAACCATACCTCTCTTTCTTCTTCCTCGATTTCGAAATTAAAAGTCAAAAGATGACAAAAATGTTATATTTTATAGACAAAGTTTATAAAATATAAACTTTAACTTTTTGGTAAAAGACAAAATAATTTATTTAGTCCAAAATGTTGTGCATGACTTATTCATACCATATGAATTATGTAATGTTACTTGCTAATGAAAATTATTATTTCCTATAAAATAAATAATTTTCAATTTAATTATAAGAGTTTATTGAATATTTATTAAAATCAATTTCTAATAAATGATCAATTATATCTAGTTGTTGTTAGTATGACCCATTAATATAATATATTAATTAAGAATATCATTTTAATATGATTCTAAGATCTTTCAAAATAAATATATATATATATATATATATATATATATATATATATATATATATATATATATATATGAAATTGAGAGAATGTAGAGTTCAACGAGGATTCAACTCTCCCGTTCTATTGAATTCGTTGTCATTATCCCATAATAAAGATTTTAAGTTTAATGTATTAAATCTCCTATTTCTCTTCTCTTTTGCCTCGGTAATTCTTAGGTGGAGCTTACTAAGGTGGAGAGGTTTTACCATGCTATTTTCATGAAACCAGTCGTTTTACCTAAAGAACCGATTATTATCCAACGTACGTCTTATAATAATGTTTTCCCTAATGTTTATGCCGGTTATGTTGGAACAAATCTGGACCACTTTTCATTTTGCTTGACATCTCAAGACAATCCTATTAATGAATACTGCCCTTATTATCAATTTGCTGGCATAAATAATCACCACATATAATCATGCACACTTTCCAATACCTTCTTTAGAAGCTCAATAATTTATTATTTACATTCTATTTATATGTATATATAAATCGAATTATTTAATTAAGACCAATAGCCTCGTTAAACCATCACAAAAAAATGGCTTCCACACAGGCACATCACCCTCATTTTGTATTGTTTCCTTTCATGTCCAAAGGCCACACCATACCATTGCTCCACCTAGCCCAGCTTCTCCTACGCCATGACGTTTCTCTCACCCTTTTCACCACAAAAGCCAACCGACCCTTCATCACTCAGTTTCTCCACCATCATGCAGCAGATTCAATCTCTGTTATAGACCTGCCATTTCCTAGCGATGTTGAAGGAATACCTCAAGGTATAGAGAGCACCGACAAGCTACCTTCCATGTCTGTATTCTGGCAATTTGTCACAGCAACGAAGCACATGCAGCCACACTTTGAACAAGCACTCAACAATCTTTCCGGAGTTATCACCTGCATCGTTTCCGATGGGTTTTTAAGCTGGACACTGGAATCTGCAAATAAATTAGGGATCCCTCGCCTCTCTTTTTTTGGCATGTCCGGCTACTCAACCGCCGTGGCTTTAGAAGTGGGCACAAACCGGCTGTTGTCAAGACCTGAGTCCGATGATGACTTAATCACTGTGACAAGGTTCCCATGGATCAAAGTCACTAGGAATGACTTTGACAAACCTTTCAATCAGCCAGATCCTACGGGTCCTCAACAGGACTTGCTAATGGAGGTTGTGATAGCAATGGCGAATAGCTATGGACTGATTATGAACAGCTTCTACGAGCTAGAGCCGCTGTTTATTGACTATCTGAACCGAAAATCTAACCTCAAAGCTTGGTGCGCCGGACCACTGTGTTTGGCTGAGTCGGGATTAACAGTTCTAGATCACGATCAAAAGCCCAAATGGATGGAATGGCTAGATGAGAAGCTATCTCAAGGACGCTACGTTTTATATATAGCATTTGGAACTCAAGTAGAGATATCAACACGACAGCTGGAAGCCATATCCAAGGGTTTGGAAGAGTCCGGAGTGAATTTCATGTGGGTGGTGAGGAAGTGCGAGAGCGAGGTGATGAGTCATGTTAACATTGTTGACGAGCTACAAGAAAGAGTGGGAGAAAGAGGGATTATCGTACGAGAATGGGTGGACCAAAGGGAGATTCTGAAGCACGAGAGTGTAAAAGGGTTTTTAAGCCACTGTGGTTTAAACTCGGTCATGGAGAGCATATGTTCAGAGGTTCCGATACTAGCATGGCCGATGATGGCTGACCAACACCTGAATGCACGGATGGTGGTGGAGGAGATCAAGATCGGTTTAAGGGTGGAGACGTGCGATGGATCTGTTAGAGGGTTTGTGAAGTCTGAAGGGTTAAAGAAGATGGTGAAAGAGCTCATGGAAGGAGAACGGGGGAAAGAGGTGAGGAAGAAAGTTATGGAGGTTGGAAAAGCTGCAAAGAAGGCAATGGAAAAAGATGGATCATCCTGGCGGACACTGGATGAGCTCATAGACGATGTTCAGACTTTTAGAAATCTTAACAGAGTGATTTGAGTCTTTTTATCGATCCTCTTCTTTGTAAGATACGTGTAGTAATGTCGTTCTTCTAAAAGTATTTTTATCGGTTTCCACTATGTCTTGTGGTCAGGATGACGATGAAGTTATGCCATGCATCTCCTTCCTATCGAGTTTAAGGAATTTCTTATATATTTATATTTTCTTCTTGGTCGTGTAAGAGTTAACATTATTTTGAAGAATAAGAGCACAGGTGCAATTTGTTTTCGTCCCATTTCCATTAGAAAAAATGATTCGTGGTAATTGCATTTTCGTCTTGTTCATATTTATGCAATTCTATTTTTTTACGACCTTTTAACTTGTTTGTGTTCATATATTATTTGTAAAATATATGTACATATTACCATTTTCATCTGTTATAGCGGATAACAATGGTAATATGTGAACACATTTAACAAGTTAAATGGTCAAATATATACAAAAAAAGAAAGTTGTCTAAATGCGAATAATTTTTTTTTATAAATTTCTTAAGATTTTTTATAATTTATTACAACATTTTTATGATTTTTTTTCCTATAGATTTTTCTGATATAATATTTTAACTTTATTGATATTTTTTTTTAATTTTTTTTATACTTTCATATAATCTTAATACAAGTGTTTTTAAACCAAATATTTTATAATTGTTTTAATTTTTTTACAAGTTTTTAACTTTTTTTATTTTACATTTTGATACAATTTTTTTCTAACTTTCTTACAGTTATTTTTAAATTTTTTCTACAATATTTTTAAAATGTTTCACAGATTTTGTATGACAGTTTAATATTCTTTTATAACATTTTAAAATACTTCCGTTAAATAGTAGTTTAAAATGTTGCATTAAAATTATTAAAAGTTTATAAACTTCTAATTAAAAAATATTAAAAAGTTGTAATAATTTTAAAACATTTACATTATATAGACTTTTTTTGTTTTTTTATTTGCTAAGTAATGATTTAATTTTATTTTTTTAAAAACTCTTCATACTTATTGTTACATATTTAATTTATTTAATTTTATTGTTAGATACTATTTACTTTAAAAATATTGTGTATGCTTAAAAATAAAAGAAAAAAATTATAAGAGGCTATATAAAATATTTCACAAAACAAAAGCATATTTATCAATTAAAAAATAAAATTTAGAATTGATCAATATTTAATTAATACTTAGGAAATTATAGATATTTTAAAAATATCGTTTAAAAATAATAATAATACAAACAAATATGAAAAATAAAATCGCTATTAAAAGTGGTGAAATGACTTATCCGAATAATTAACTTTTAGCTTTTTTCACGTTTAGACAACTTTTTTATACACATTTAACCATTTAACTTTTTAATGTGTTCAAATATTATCATTGTCACCTGCTATAGCCGGTGACAATGATAATATGTGAACACATATAACAAGTTAAATGGTTAAATGTATAAAAAAAATAAAGAAGTTGCTGAAATATGAACAAAACGACAAATATTATTACCCATTAATTCTGGTTTATGTTTTCAAATTTTGGCTTGAGATAGTCAAGTGGGAGGTCATTTTTTGTAATGTGGCCTATAAAGACAACGAGATGAAAGCCAAAATGTGTAAATGGGATGGCAGGAGGGGATTTGATGACAACTTTGTGAATGCTTAAGAAGGGTGTCGACATGGCTGGATGGCCTCCATTTTGGGTAATAAAAGATTGTATTTTTAGGTTTTATACTTATTTTTTGAAAAGCGACTATATGAAATATCTTTAAATTAACAATAAACTTAAAAAAATATTATCAACGGGTAGAAAAATATAACAATTAACAAAAAACTTAACAGTCGCCTACCAAACTTATTTAGTCCAAAAACTTTAATCTTTCTTATATTTATGGTCCCAAAAAAATTAATGACTAAACTGTAAATTTGGTCACGTGGTTAGCCAAAAAATGTGGATGAAGTTCAAAATCTTTTCAACTTGCACTATTAGTCTAAAATTAGATTTTTTTTTTTTTTTTTTTTTTTTTTTGCGGTTATAGTCCCTGTTAAACATGAAAAGACTATTATGCCCTTTTAATTTTTTTTATATTTCTTTTACTATTTTTTTAATTTAAAAATTATATATATATATATATATATTATATATATATATATATATATATATATATATATATATATATATATCAAACCCCCAACCCAACCCCTCGGTTAACCTTCTCTCTCTCTCTCTCTCACACACACACACACACACATCATCATCATCATCAACATCTCTCATCGTCATCTTTCTATCTTCCTTGAAAATTAAAAAACACATACATACTTATATTATCCATACTTGCAACTGATAATACACAGATACACACAACACACCGAAAATTGATTCATACCTATCTAAATTCTTCAAAGGATTCCTTTCTCAGATGATTTTATAAACAAAAGATTGTTCCATTGGACCTCCATTTTCATGTATGAAGCTTTTGTTTGAGGCTAATTTGTTGAAATTATCTTCTCATTCAGGCTGAAATGGGTGATTTTTTAGTCTTCTACTTTTACTCCTCACTCTTCAACCTTCTATAATGGAGAAAATTGGGTTTCCTCTCCTTTGTGTTCTTTTCACTTTACCACTCCCCTTCATTCTTGTTGGTAATGACTTGCCCACTCCACCAGATGCATAATTTCATTCCAGAGAACATGTATCAAAATGTTAATTTTTTTTCTTTTAACAATAAAAGCATCTCAACCCTTCAAAACACCTTCCTTCTCTAATCAAGTTTCAATCTTTTCCAAAATCTTTTTAAATCGTGATTTTATATAGTTGAAGGATATCCTCATGCCTACAAGAAATCCATATTATAAAGGAAATTGGTCGAGTGAAAGAAGGGAGAATCTTTATTACCTCAATAATTTGTCAAATATATGGCAGCTCATCAAGAAACACATCTCATTTGCTCTTGTAGAAGATTGTAAAGCAAGTTTGAACATCAGAAAGAGCTTAAAGAAGACGATGAAGGAACTCAAAGGTGAAGATTCCAGTTCAAGAAGTGATGCAGAATACTCTGTTAGTGATCATCATTCATCAAGACCCAAAACACCCTATTTTTGAAAGAAAAAAGAAAGATGTTTGTAGGTGGAGCTCCATACTGTCATACCCCCGAACCAGGACGACGGAAACGTCCGGGGGCGGATGACGTCATTGTATAGTATCATAACAATTGAATATGAATGAAACATAGCAACCAAACATCATACATTAAAAGATACCAACATACATTGTTTACAGATTGTATTTGTTCACAAATTTACACAAAAGTGACATAAAATATGATGCTCCAAAATGTAGCAAATATCCAAAATCCATAGCCCAAATACCCGATCACTGAGTCCCTGAGAATACAAGTGGTTTTGAAAAGCGTCAACTAAAAAGTTGGTGAGTTCATAAGCATATTTGTATAAAAAGTCTTGTAATATCTTTGATTGTAATAATTTGTAAAACTCCAGAAAATCCGATATTTCCTGTGAAAAATGATTTGTACGTCTAGTTCTAAAACTGTGAATAATTGCATGTGTGTCCTTTGTTTTCTTTTGTTTGTAAGTAAAAAAAGTGTGTGTTCCCAGAAAATCTCATATTTCTTGTTTTATGAAAAGTTGTAGTCTTAAAACCCTAAGACTAGGGTGATGATATTCAGGTACAAAAAGTGAAGCGTAGTTTTATATTTTAAAAAACCACTGAAGTGTATAATTTCGTAAATCCAAAATAACAATGTTAATCCCTATGTAAGTCGTTACAACCATGCTTAATATGACTGATATGCCTGTCATGACGTTCTTCAGGCGTCGGTTTCGGTAAGATATGTGTCACCCTAGACTGGCCCCGTCTAGCTGTAGCGAACAGCTCAGGTGTGGGGGTGTCAACCCCGTAAAGATCTATACACAATTACCTCGCTCTCCCTCCAGGAGACTCTAGTTATAACTATAGGACTTACGGTGTACGCTAGGTAGGTACGGCGAAGGAAAGTCTCACAAGTGCCTTAACAGATTTACGCGAACTTTGACTCCCATTATTGGATAATGAAAATAACATTACTAGTGTAAATTCATGACTGCAGTTTTATGACACGCGTTTTACAGCTTTATGACATACAGCTTATAACTTGTTCTTTTAACAGCTTTATGATGGACAGATTATGACACGCAAATTTTTCTGTCGTAATAATTATGTTTTGTATACCACTTTGGTTAAATTATTTATAACACTTTTTATAAATAATCGTTAATGGACTTGTCTACTTGTACTATATGTTGTGTAATAGCATAATCCTCTAAGATTTTAAACCACTGAAATGATGACAACATATTACGACTATTTCACTAGTAAAAACTATTTTTTTTTGTAAAATAATCAAGTTTTGTAGTTTGTGTAATACACCAAAATTTTGTTTAAGAGTTTTGTAACACAAAATATACTATTTTGTTGTGACTCTAGCATGTCACGAGTTTTATAAAACACAAATATGTTGTTAACATATATTTTATGATTTTTAACACACATTAAGAACCTTTTTAGGTGAGAACTTGCTTCATCTTCAACCCATGACTATGATACAAGAAATTATCCAAACGATAAACTTAATCTAGCAACATGAACCTTGTAAATCTCGAGTTTATGGTGGGTTAACATGAAACAATCAACATTTCAACCACAATATTTAAGATGCATGCTATTATCCAAAGGTTAAACACATTACACACCGGTACATGCAATTATCCAATGGTTAAATGAGATTTGACTTGTATCCCCCCCCCCAAAGAGTATGAAAAACACGGAAAATAGTGGGGTATGAAGCTCACCTTGAAGATTTCAAGTGGTAGAAGAAGAAGAAGGATTTCGAGCCTAGCCTTGTGTCTTGGAGAGATTCTCGAAAATGGTGGTGTTTCTAAGAGCTTAACACACAACAAAAGTGTGTAAACAAGGATTTGTCATCATAAAACTGTTTAGAGTTACAAGAGTTACATGAAGATCTT